AGAACCACTACGCACAGACGTATGAAAGACATGGGTTTCAGCTGTCGCATTCCTTGTGTCAAGCCACTCTTGAACAACAGACAGCGTCAGAAGCGTCTCACCTGGGCTAAAGACAAAAAGGACTGGACTGCTGGTGAGTGGTCCAAAGTCATGTTCTCTGATGAAAGTAAATTTTGCATTACCTTTGGAAATCAGGGTCCCAGAGTCTGGAGGAAGAGAGGAGAGGCACAGAATCCACGTTGCTTGAGGTCCAGTGTAAAGTTTCCACAGTCAGTGATGGTTTGGGGTGCCATGTCATCTGCTGGTGTTGGTCCACTGTGTTTTCTGAGGTCCAAGGTCAATGCAGCCGTGTACCATCAAGTTTTAGAGCACTTCATGCTTCCTGCTGCTGCCCATCTTTATGGAGATGCAGATTTCATTTTCCAACAGGACTTGGCACCTGCACACAGTGCCAAAGCTACCAGTACCTGGTTTAAGGACCATGTATCCCTTGGCCAGGAAACTCGCCTGACCTTAACCCCATAGAAAATCTATGGTGTATTGTGAAGAGGAAGATGCGATATGCCAGACCCAACAATGCAGAAGAGCTGAAGGCCACTATCAGAGCAACCTGGGCTCTCATAACACCTGAGCAGTGCCACAGACTGATAGACTCCATGCCACGCCGCATTGCTGCAGTAATTCAGGCAAAAGGAGCCCCAACTAAGTATTGAGTGCTGTACATGCTCATACTTTTCAGTTGGCCAAGATTTCTTAAAATCCTTTCTTTGTATTGGTATTCAGTACTATTCTAATTTTCTGACATACCAAATTTGGGGTTTTCATTGGTTGTTTCATTGGTAGTTCTAATCATAATTAAAAGAAATAAACATGTGAAATGTATCAGTCTGTGTGTAATGAATGAATATAATATACAAGTTTCACTTTTTGAATGGAATTAGTGAAATTAATCAACTTTTTGATGATATTCTAATTATATGACCAGCACCTGTATATAGTATTGGACTGTAAAAGGTGCAGATTGCTGCACTGTTCAGTGCAATCCACAGAGCAGAATCCAGTTTGGTAACATTATATTCATAACATTTCTACAGCCCAACATGACAATCCCTCGGAGGCAAATATTGAAAGGCGTCAACCTGCCAGAATCATACCAAGACACCACTCACTTCAGGTTTAGTTCAACAGAATGACTGACTTCTTTAGCACTGCCTGTAAAGAAAATGGTTTCATTTAAAACATCCCAAAACCAAAAATTCCCCAAGCATGGTTTGTGTCTGAAGATATCTGTTCACAGGGAGGAGCCACAAGCACCCTTGTTATGTAATAACTTTGTACATTCTTAGCCTGACAATGAAACATGTATACAGTAAACTGTTCTCTTTTTAATGGAAGAAATGCAATAGACATGGATAAAACCATTTCTAATGGATGATACAATGAAGAAGACAATACCAAAAAAGGTTAAGTATTGTGACATAATAGAAGAGCACTTCGGGTCTATAACCGGACAAAAAGACCCGGCATAAGGAAAAGGTTTCAAAATCTGATCTCAATATTGTAAATGGTGACACAAGCTGGAATGAAACATGGATCAAAATCAGGAGAAATTTGTTTCCAAACATAAAACATGTTTCTTTACAATGCGTCAAAGTTTTAAACTAACTCAATGCATCTACTGGAAGGATAAATTCATGCTGGAAAAAAACAAATCTGCTTTTAATTAAAGGTGTTACATGAGCATTTTTGAAATTAAAATCATTACTTCTTTTGATACATTGGAATAAACTCTTTCCAACGGTCGGCTTCCTCCAACATTAGGTTCCTCTGGTTCATTCTTATAAGATGCACTGGATGATCAACTCACTATCAGAAAGACAATGGTTTCATTCAAAGGACATAATGTTCCTTTGTTTGTTGCTCTTATTCCATTATGCATCTTTTGTGTTATTTAATAGCTGATGGATGAGTTGAAGATTTAACAGGTAAAGAATGAAGGTCAAATCAAATTTATAAGATGCACTGGATGATCAACTCATTATTAGGATTATGTTCAAACAGCCTGACCAGACACAGAGGTAGTGTCCTCTACTATACCTGAAAATTTAGGGATTTCATGACATATAGAAGAGTTCACATCCTACGGTTTAACACAAATTTTTTTTTTTTTACAGGAATATTTTGTATTTGTGGGTACAATCCCCTGCTCAGAGTTAGATGGCAAGATTGATATCACTCATGTCTAAAAATATGAAGCTACAGCCAGCAGCAGCTTAGCTTGCCTAAGCAGAAAGAGTGAAAAGAGCCAGATTGGCTGTTACCCTCCTAAAAGCACAACATGTTTTCACACTTTTGTTTTTAGATGGATTAAGCAAAGACAGTGAATTAATTGGTGATCTGCTAGAGCTGCTGGCAGACAGGCGGGAGCGTGTTATCAAACTAACATCCAGCAAGAAAGCAAATGCACACTTCCCCCAAAATGCAGTACAATTCTTTAAGGTTTTTGGATCCGAGTGTCATCTTAAGACCAACATTCTCACTGGCCTCTTTTGTTTCAGCTGTACTAAGACAACAGAATTATTTCTACAATGATTTATTCATGTATAAAAATGCTCCTAACAGCACCCTTGATTAAACAGCCATTTGTGTCAGAGACGTGGGTGGAATGAAACAATCCTCATCTTAAATACTCAGCAATTTATAAGCTCCACCTCAAAGTGGAGAATGGCATTAGAAGGGATGGCTGGCGGGCATCCAGCAGCGCCGTACGCGTAGTCCGGTGAGCAGGTCAACCTGGCCACTTGGCCACGGCTCATCTGTGGAGGTGGTGAAGAGTATGTTACATAAAGGTAATATAGTTTGGCTTATTTGTGTTTTTGAAATCTTTATTAAAAGGGATCCAGTGATTTACACTTTCATAAGATTAGAGGACTCACAAGAGTTCATTGTAAATGCAAAGGCTGAGATATTCTGACTAAACACTGGTTTCTACATTTCCAGTCATGCAGCAGTGTTTGCTTGACCTTCCCTCCCCTCTAAATCCAGACATCTCTTAAACCCATGGCCCGATTTTGCAAATCTCACCTATTAAAAATTTTGCTGAGAGAGTCTCTCAGGCTTTGAACATCTGCTCCAGATCCACAGAAAAGATTATAGCTGTTTTTGGTAGGATGGGGCCCTATGTCAAAATAAATTAGACTGAACTAAATTCGTTTACAGAACCATCATGAGTCCAGATGACTACATGGCTTTGATAATCGTGTACTGAACCTAATGTCCTCATATGAGGAAGACTCTGTTGTATCTGGTTATTAGACGTGAAATCACAGGAGTCAATGAACCAGTGTTTGCATTTTACTTTAATCAGTCTGCATCTACCTAATGAGTAGCTATCATTATCCAGCCCACTATCTGTTAGCTGTCAGGCTCATGTTAAGACAGCACAAAGAGGCTGTCGACAACTGTATGGGCACAGACACACAAAACCGCCGGGCTTAGTAGTGATCTCCATTATGAGTAAATTGATCTCAATGTGTAAAATCACTGGAGTTCCCTTTAAAGTTCATGTCCTTACCTGAGCTACACCATCATCCCAACCACGAATTACTTCGCCCTGTCCAATCTTGAATTTAAAGGGCTCTCCCCGGTCCCTGGAGGAGTCAAACTTTTTCCCATTTGTCAGTGTGCCTGTTTAACAGTAAACAGAACTGTTTGTAGTCTATTTGAGCTGCGACCATTAGTTAACTGATTAACAAGTATTTTAATGGCAACCATCAATCAGAGCAGGCATTCTGATAATAGACTTGTGATAATCGACTGTCACTTTTTAAGCAAAACTACTTAAACATTTCACTGCTTCTAACTTCTTTAATGTAAGAACCTTGTGTTGTCTTTATTATATATCATAGTTAAATGATTATTTTTAGGTTTCAGGCTGTAGGGCAAATAAAAGGAGCTATGTGATGAGGTCAACTTGCACTGTGGGAAATAACGGGTATTTCCCCCACATTTTCTGATGTTTTATAAACAAAACAATTATAAGGGCGACAGATTAAGTGCCAATGAAAATAAATATTAGCTGCAGCACAACAGTAACGACCTTGTATCTTCAATTATTAATACTTTAGTGCTCTTTATTTAGTCGCACTTTAAATACAATGTGATTAAGTTTTAAATACAATAGCTGGTGATGCACATAACTGAAATTGGACCGTTAAAGGTATAGTTCGACTATCTGGGACGAGATATCACGTCGTATGCGCACTTATTATGAAGCTAGGATGTGGTTAGCATTACTTAGCTTAGCGCAGACTGGAAATAAAGAGAACCCGCGAACCTGGCTCGGCTGCTGCTTGTACACTTTTAAACAAATCGAAATATGTCGTGTGAAAAGCGTTTAGATGGACTGGTTAGCAGACGGCATTAGCTCTGGGCAGAGCCAGGCTCCATTTCCACCTTGTTTCCAGTTTCTGTGCTGTGCTAAGATAAGCTAAACGCATCCTGCCTGTAACATTTAGCTAGTCGTGCACAACAAGGGTGGAACCCATCTTCTCGACGAGAAAGCGCAAACGCGTTAACTCCCAAATGTGAAACTATAAAATCGACCAACCGTGTTCATCCGCATGAATAACATTTTCCATTTTGAGCGGAAATTGATGAACACAATAACCTCTGACCAAGCAACAATAAAATGATCTTACCAACGTAGTGCACGGTAACAGTCTGTCCTTTCCGAGGAAACGTCTTCCCTATAAGGAAAACGTGGATAAAGCGATGTTATTAAGGAAACACAACATTTAACCATCTGGTCTTTGAAATTAACGTTATAAAATCCTTACCGTCTCCTGGTCTTAAAGTCTCAACGTTGACTCCCATTGTTCTTTCCGTGCAGCCTTCCTCCGCTCACACTTCCGCCCAGCTCTTCGTGCGACTGTGTTTAACGTTAGCTCACGCGATACAAGATGGTTCCGTGTGCTGCAGCGGGATTGGTTCGTTCGGTGAAGCCACTGAGCGCAGCATGTCTCAGTGTAGAAGGCTTGTCAGGCTTAAAGGAACACGTCTTCTTTTCTGTTTGTTGGTGTACGTGTCTACATGTGGATGCTTGTAGCAAGGAGGGCTGCTGTATCTTTGCATCTGCCAAGTTAATACAATTTACCTGTCAACAGAGGCAGCGACGATGCACCCAGTGGTAATTTTTCACAGCGGTGGAAGGTAGTTAGGTACATTTACTCAAGTACTTAAGTGCAGTTTTGAGGTATCTATTATTATTTTTTTCTACCTCATACTTTGACTTAACATTTTAGTCAAATATTGTACTTTTTACTCCATCCGCTACATTTATTTAATAAATGTTAAATTTGCCTATTACCTCAGACAAGGTGTTTGTCACTTGACAGCATTTGCAAATATTCAAAAGCAGTCCAGTCAATATTAAAACAAAGGTATTACTGTTGCAGTCTCATTAAACTGCCATAACATCCATTGACATACTTTTCTCAGCAACAGTAGTTTTAGTGAAATTAAAATACCTTCAAGTACACAGGCATAATTTACAAATTGGTGAAGGTTTATTATTAGTTATTAATCTAGACCCTGGGTTCCCAAACCTTTTCACCTTCAGACCCAAAATATAAATTTGGTTTCTCCCTGGCATCTAAACTTACAAAAATACATTTATAAACTACTGATAATGAACACAACAAACCATGAATTTAAAATGTATTTATTTCAAGTACATAAACTGCATCAGCGAATCTGTTTTCTTTTTCTGTCACTCCTTTTCTGCAACAGCGGCCCCAGATTTTCTGTTACTCCATGTTTCATTTGCTACCAATGCAACTTTACAGGTGTGATGGCAACAGTTCTCTGTTACAGCTTGCACCAGCAGTTTGGGGAAAGTACAGACTGGCCGACAAGGAAAATTCCCAAACTTTTCAATCAACCCTTGTCAAGCTCAGGTTAGCGAGAAAAGAGAGAGAAAGAGCCCTACTCACAGCATCTGAGCTGAACAGAGCAGTGTGGAAAAAAAGAAAGCTTTTCTATTTTAATTAGAAAAATAAATTCACATTATGCATTTTCTCTGCCAATTGATGACCCCATTAAAAGAGGTCCATGACTCAAAATGGGTCATGGAGCCCAAATTTTGGAAAGGCAGATCAGGCCTAAGCATCAGAGGAAGTCACAGCGGCATCAGTTTCGTGTGGTGAGGGATCATACAGGTTGTTGAAGAAGGAAAAGTTAGATTCAGTTCCATGTTGTGTGCCCTGGGAAGGAAAGCCTCTTTTATCATCAGAGTTTTCTGGAATTGATACAAGATGCTTTGTTATCAAATCCTTCTTACTTACATCTATTCTGCAGGCAAAAAGGTCATCCACTACTGTTGTCTGGTTCCTAAGACAGACAAGTACAAATGTAAGCAAACAACACAAAGGAGCTGCCATCTTTAGTGTTCTTACATACATTATATCAATGTCATGTATTTAAATCACTGTATACATTGTGCAACGCTTCCTGTTCATCATAAAGAGGAAGACAGAGATTATGAGTCCAGCCAGCAGAGTCAGACCAACTGCGAGGCCTACAGTCAACATATCTGAAACACACAGAAACATGATAACTGCATGAAACAAATGATGAAACATTTGACTTTAACATCCTTTTCTACACTGCATATACTAACTTCTGCTTTAGTAACATTCATTTCTACACTGCATATACTAACTTCTGCTTACTGAAAATGCCTTTCTTTAAACATTTGCATATGGAATTACCAGGCCTAGTTGCTCCAATACTAACATCTATTTAAGGGAAAGGCTGGTGATGCTACATTTTTCTTATTGTCAACAAAAAGACCAAAACCAACAATGCATTTATGGTGTTAACAGGTACTGTCTGCGAGGCCAAAGCCTGATATACTTTAGCCTATTCCTCTGTACAATAGTTCTCCACTGTTATCAAAAAACAGTTAAAGACATAAAGGAGCCACACTGTTAATCAGTCAATCTGTTGATCATTCCTGCACTAGATGCTCAGTTGAAGCAGCTAAGGAGGGTTTCAGGTTACCATTATTATCATCAGGAGGGTTGATGGGGGGCTCTAAGTAGCAGTCTCCCGGGAAAATGGTGATGTCATCAAGAGCGACGTCCCCGCTTGTATTCCTCCCTCTTTGATACACAAACACAAACTGTGACAAAGAAAGAGAGATGCTCAGCACAGCAAACAGAAAATCCAAAAAACACACGAGAAAGCAGTCCAATTTGTTAATAAAAGTTATCATTGGTTAACTGGCACATTTTGCCTTACAGGTAACTGACACTTTCTTTATGTAGCTGTTGTAGTTAAGTTGCATTTTAACATAAAGGTGCAGGATGTTTAATTTTTTGTTTGCATTTGAATCCCTTGGCTTTTCTTAAGTTCAATGGCTCTAACTATTGTCTTCAAACTAGCGAACAGTAAAAAAGTCTGCCAAAAAAAAAGGACTTTTTCATCCTAACGTCTTTGCATGAACTCTGATCAAACCTACGTTTAGTTCATAATTACCCAGAATGCTTCTTCATGTTTAACAAACACATGGGCCTCCTGCCACTTGTCTCCCTTGTTTCCTGTCTCAATCCACCTCAGAATCCCTTCTTCATTTCCACCACTATGCAGTTTTCTATGGGACATGATCAAGATCAAAGATTTTTATTGTCAATTCACTATATCTGCAGGACATACAGAAAATCAAAATACCGTTTCTCTCTCACCTAGTATTGAATGCCACACCATTTAGGAAATAAAAGTAGACTAAAAAGAATAAGAAAACTAAGTCAGAGTGATTAGGATAAAGCTAAATGGTACAGCCTAACAGGCTATGACTCAAACCATGTACAATCAGTGACAGTAACAAGAAGATTGTCAGATGGTTTTGAGACTGAGATGCACATGGACAGTACTGCAAATGACCAACAGCAGCAGATATGATGGTAAAACACTCAGCAGTGGATTTAAATGTGATATAACAAGAAGGGGGAATGTACTGGGTTTCTGCAAAACAGCAGAGGTAGTCTTTTTATGTTCTGTGGTGGGTCACAGTCCAGGGGCAGAGGGCAGGTAATGGACAGCATTCAGCATCCTCACAGCCTGATGGATGAAGCTGTTTGTAAGTCTGGTGGAGTGGGCCTGAAGACTCCGACACCTTCGCCCTGAAGTCAGGAGTCTGTAGTGGGAGTGTGAGGGGTGAGAGGTGTCATCAGCAATGCTGATGGCTCTGTGGGTGAGGCAGGTGTTGAAGATGTCCGTAAGGAGTGGCAGAGGGGCACTCATGATCTTGCTGGTGTTCATTATGCATTGCAGGGTCCTTCTGCAGGAGGCAGTACAGCCTCTGTACCACACAGTGATGCAACCAGTGATAACGCTCTCAGCGGCGCCCCGGTAGAAAGAGCGCATGATGGGGGGGTATGACACTGGCTCTCCTCAGTTTGCAGAGGAAGTAGAGGCATGATTGAGCCTTCTTAGCAAGTGATGTGGTGTTGTTGGTCCAGGAGAGGTCCTCAGAGATGTGCACCCCCAGGAACTTGGTGCTGCTCATTCTCTCCACTATAGCACTATCGATGGTCAGTGGTGGATGCTTTAGGTAGGTAGATAGGTAGGTAGGTACTTTATTGATCCCTCAATGGGGAAGTTTCAGTGTTTCAGCAGCAAAGGAGAACAAACAACATAACACCATGAGAAACAAACACCACACACATTTAGATGCTTTCTTCTGAAGTCCACAACAATCTCTTTAGTCTTCCCCAGATTGAGAAGAGGTTATTGTCTTTACACCACTGGACCAGCTGGCTCACCTCACTCCTGTAGTTGGCCTCATCATTGTTGGTAATGAGGCCAACTACAGTCGTGTCATCCACAAATTTGACAATGTGGTTGGTGCTGTAGGTTGGCACACAGTCGTGGGTCAGCAGTGTGAAGAACAGTGGGCTGAGCACACACCCCTGCGGAGCCCCTGTGCTCAGCATGATGATCATGGAGATGTTGCTGCTGACCCACACATTTATCACCTATTTATATTAAGGTATTGCCTTTGGTAATTAATATACAGTTCACGTTTAATTTGATACTGCTCAGACATTAACAGCTACTTACCTGTCATTTGTGAAAACTCTAAGAGTCCCAACATGGCTGCCATAGATGTGGTACCAGAATGTGAGACAGTGCCCTCTAGTGGACGGCTGGAAAACATCACTGATCAGGAAGGATGTGGCTCCCTGCTCACCCACTGAGCTGTCTACATACAGATAGTAACCTGGTGGAAACAAGGAGATCACTCAAAATTATGACAGGAAGAACCCTCATAACCATTGCATGACCATTTTATAACAGGTACATTAAAGCTATAATAATGCAAATTTCTGACCAGCTAAATGCCAATAATCCAATCAGACCTGGTGATGGTGGTTTTAACTGCACAAAGAATAAGATTCAGATCTGGTAAGGTTTACTTTTGTTGCTTTGACCCAATTCTCTTGAACAGAGTGCCACAACTTTCAAACGCAAACTGAAAACTTAACTGTTTTCTCAGGCTCATGATTAGTTACTTCAATGAGTTCCATCTGTGTACAGTATGCGGGCTGCATGTAGGTTTCTTACTGTAAGCACATGCATTTTAATGCAAAGTAGGGATTTCTGACACAACCTCACTGTCTTCCAAGGTGTGTGGAGGAGGAAAAAATGTCTGAAAAGGTCAAAACACTAGTAACACTTGTAGTATACACAACGTTCTTGTGAGATAAATACATTTTCCCTTGCCTTAGAGTTGGTAGATTCTCATATTGGGGTTCAGTGTTTCATAGTTTTAAAACATATCATTTAACAACCAGAGAGCACTTGTTCACTGTTGATTAGCACAGTGCTTACCCACACAGCCCTATCAGGAAAGTACTCCTTTATAAACATCACACCCATCCAGATGTGTGAATTTTTAACTGGATGTTATTAACGCAACTGATTAAAGTTAAGTGGATGCTGATATAATATTTTTTCATAGAATTCTAGTTGTCCTGGACTTGTAAATGTTCAGATGAGGTTAGGCCTGTTTGTCAGTCTACATTCATATCACTACCACCTGGAGTGGTGATTATTTACTTTACTATTTCTTGCATGTGGAGACGTGAACATTATGTAATTACCAATAGCACTAATTTTGTTGAATAGGATAAATCTCTAGTTTAAGGCAGCTGACAAATGTTTTATCACAGTTCAATTTTACGTTTAGCTTTAAGAAACTGTTCTCAAACATAAAGAATCAGAGTTATATAAATGATTACAGACCATGTGTTGAGTTGGTGGTGTGATCAACGCTGGGCCCGGTGTTGAGGTTTGGGGAGGCTCCTCTGCCGCGGAGCCAGTCTCCCTGGTCGACTTCCCCACCCAGGTTGCTCCAGCTACACATGCTGTTCTCAAAGTCACAGAAGCCAGGAGGAGGACAATGAGCATCTGTCAGCTCTATATCATCAAAAGCCATGTCTCCCTCCTGGGTGGGGCCAGCCTTCACCCCTTCTACCACAATCTGAAACACAAAGTGTGACTTGATGGAAACTGTTTCCTGTAAAGATTAAACATACAGTAGAGTTTTCGATGTCATTTTAGTCTTATTATAACACACTCTTAATAATAATAACAATATTTTCCTTACTGATATAAATTTATTGTCAACTGACTAATCAATAAATCAAATAACTGTTGCAACTCTACACTATTACTCACTGGCAAAATATATGTAGAACTGAATTAATTTAAATGTAAGAAAATAATGCGCTCAAACAATAAAGAGAAATCTTTATTGATATTTTGAATTACATACATGTAAAATGGTAACAAAAGAACAAAGACCATTTGGTTATTAGTAAAAATACCAGTACCACAGTGTGGAAATGAAAGTGTTTATTTAGCCAGCGTAGCTTCACTGAGAGGCGACCTCTCTTTTTAAGGAATGGCCTGATCACATTCACACAGTTACACACTCACACCTGGGGGCTGCCTCGTATAACCATAGCCTGACCTGCTGGCCAATGAGCAGCTCCACTGGAGCAGCTGGGGGTTAAGTGCCTTGCTCAAGGGCGTTGATGACCTTCCGGTCACAAGCTCACTTCTTGAACTGCTCCAAACTATAAGTAAACACCTATTTGACATTTTAATCTTCAGTGGAAGTATAGAAGTATTAACAGTAAAACTGTCTTGAAGTATCAAGTAAAGTATTCATTATACAGGCACTATGGCCCATGTCAGTGTTATATTATTAAACAACATCGTTACTGATTTATAATTACTGAAGCAATAACATATAAACAAAATTCATATGTGGTTGAGTTGGAGCTAATTTAAAATATTTATATTTAATTAAAATGTAATAATTTCTATACCTTTGGGTAGCTATACTGTATAACAATGCATACTGCATAAGTGTAATCAATAAGAAAATGTTCAAGTACAAGTATTTCAAAATTATACTTATGTACAGAAAGTAAAGTACTTGAGGAAATGTTCTTATTTACCTCCCACCATTGTCTATATTTATCTTTCTCCTCCAGAATGAGTGTATTACTAGACTGTCTCAGGAGGATCACTGTAACTCACCCTGTAAGGCTGAACTCGAGGCAACAGTGAAGCCTGGGCGAACCTCCACAGTTGGCCTTGGTCTCCCCTCTGAGAGAAAATCAGTGATTCCTTGCCTTCTTCACTCTGCTGGTAAACGTTTAGTGTCCCTACGCCTTTGCCATACATGTGGTACCAGAGCTGCACACAAGATCCTTTGCCTGAAGGGCCACAGGAAAGGAGAGCATAACAAATGCAATTTCATTAGTGAAATATTAGAGAATATCCACAGTAGCAGTGGTCTGATTGTGACTCGCTGAGGAAGAGCACACTGTCTCCATAAAGAGCAATATACAAAAAATAAGTGGCTGCTCAGAGCAAACTCTCAATCTAACTGTTGTACTATATTGTCAACTGTAGGACAAATACAAGTGTAACCAAATAAAAGCCAATCTGTGGCTCCATATTTTTTGATAATAGCTTGGCGATCACAAAGGAAATATTCAGATAAGAGTGGAGAACATGCTGGTAGCTCTCTCACTTCCAGGATACAGTGGTGATGACATCGCAGCTGTCTGGCCAGCGACGTCAGCAGCAGATGAGGGCAGGTAGTAGTAATGGCCCACAGGTGTGCTGGTGGTGTGGTCGCTGTCTGGTCCTGTGCTGGGGTTGTGAGTGGAACCTGACTGCCTGACCCAGTCAAAGTCATCAGTGGTCTGCTGCTGCCAGTCACAGCTCCCTTCCTCAAAGTCACACAAATCTACAACATAATAACTTGGAATGAATTACAAACAGTATCCATAAATGAAAAATAAAAATGTAAAAAAAAGTTGTTTCCAGAAGCCGTTCACCTTCTTGTGCCTCAGCGGGAGGGAATTTCTTCATTTCTGGCACAAGTGTTCACTTTGACTCAGTGATGAAATGATTAGATTTTGGTGGTCAAAGGTTAAAGATCAAAGTCAGTGACCTCCCTTCTGTCCCATACCCATGAATTTGACTGACTGCTGGAGGCATACAACCACGAAGCAGTAATTCTACTTAATTCTTAAATTTAGTTTGAAAATTTTGTATAGCTTATAAAGCACCATTTATTATAAACAATTTTTTTAACAGGTTTTTAAACCTGTATTTTAAATGTGAACTAATAGTTTGACACCTATTTTTATTGTTTTAGTTGTTTTAATGGCATTTGTTTTATTTTGCTTTATATTTTATGTCAGTTTTTTTCTGTGAATAACACCAAAGCTCACATTCATGTTAAAAGGACAAAGGTCTTTTCTGGGTTTTTCAGCCTTCTTACCAGAGGCCAGACATGATCCGCTGATGAGTGAGATGTCATCGATGGCTATGTCCCCTGCCTCTCCTCCCACTGCAGCCTCTAGAATCACTTGGTGGACTTTCTGCAATGTCACATGACTCTGCACCAGTAGCCACTCATCTCCTTGATTTCCTGACTGTTGCCACACCTAAAGGAAGGACAGGAGGATGATTCATTTGTCACAATGAGGATGTGAGGAGGTTTTTGCAACACCATGGTATCCAGTGAAACGGTACAGCTTGAACTCAGTACACCATGCATTAATGTTATTTTGCAATCAGCATTTCACAACTATGTGACAAGTACAATAACAAAGAGAAAACAGCCGCAAATATTTCTCAATCAATCTCACAGCCATTTTCCTAACCCTGTAGTAAAGGGAAGTCATGTGTCCAGATGCAAAGGGAAACATCATGAAAATGACTTTCACTAACCTCTACCATGTCTGTATTTTTCATGCAAAAACTTTGATAACATAAATTCAAAACCGGTTCATTTTATGCATGTTTACCAGTATTTTCCTAAAGTGATCAGCTGTTTGTAGAAGTATCCTCAAAGAGCCAACAGTAGCACCAAACATGTGATACCAAAATGTGAGACAGTATCCTTTCTCTCCAGCAGGTGGCAGCAGTGGAGACTTCAGCTGGGCCATATTCCCCTTCACGCTTGGTGGGGAGCTCTTGATGAAAATATATTTCCCTGTCAAACAACATATTATAATGACTCCAAGCCTTCTCAGCTTTAGAACACTTAACACAAAGTAATATTTACATGCAGTCTCTTTGCACTTATCTAAGAGCTGTGAGGAGTTCACGCATAGAGTGATTTTTATTTGAATACCTCAGAAAGTGAATCTATTCTGTTTCACTGTGACCACAGTGGCTGCAGTTCAGCAAAAGTTACAAAGGTCCACTATAAAAAACATTCTCAACACAGGTAATGAAGCAATTATGGTAAAAATGTTAAGTAGACAACACTAGTGTGCAGTTACAGTATCTGTGCAACGTTTCAGAAGACTTGTGATAAAAACAGTTTAGTAGCAGTAATGACCTTTGCCTGTAGTGTGGTCTCCTGCAGGCCCGGTGTTTGGGGTTTCAGTGGGACCTGACCTACTGAGCCAGTCCAGCTCATCTTCACCCCCCTGCATCCAAACACACAGACCGTGTTCAAAAGAGCAGTCACAGGCAGACAGAGCTGAGGAGGGAAAAGAAAGTTTAAAATTAGCCAACCCTAATCACTAGTTCTTGTTCCTGTAGGTATAAATACAGCAGAAATGATACATGCACCATATCCACAATACCAGTACTCATTCAAGTAATGGTGATAAAAGATTACATTACCTGGTGGTTGGTAGGATTTTTCACAGTTTATAAAAGAGACATCATCCACAGCAACAATGTAATCTTCAGTAGTTGTACTCCCCTGAGTCATTTTATTCATGCTACTGAACCAAATCTAAAATTAGAAATAATTACATTAATACTTTTGAAGGATTATTATCATTAAAAAATGAAGAAACTTTGTATCACTGCAGTTACAGAAAATTTAAAGTAATTTTGTAATGTAAGTTATTTGTGCTCAATAAATAGTTTTGGTTAACTTCTGTATATTAGGAATTCCCATACATATTTAATAATGTAATATAAGAAGATCGTACATACAGTATGTTTTTATCACATTCATCATAAAGTGTGTTTTTAAGGTTTTGGACTCAGAGGTTGTAAGGTTCTATTTGATATAATGCATATGTTAAATAGGCACTAATATTGTCCATACTCACAACCAAGTGAAAACCTGAATAGGCAGCCATTATACATTTATTTTTAGTTTACATGGTGCTGTGTACACAGGTTCCTGTGATCTCAGGAAACATCAGCAGAAAGTAACAAGAGCTGAGTATGCCTTTGACTCTAAATGTGCACAGATAACACCATTTACTATCCAAATGATAATAATGGTGTACAGTTACTATACTATCTCTGAATATTTCCCTTTAACTTTCCTACAAGCATCCGCACTTTAATTTAAATATAACACGTATGTCGTGAACACCAAACTCTAGTTTGTAACTTTACTGCTCAGGCTGTTCACATAAGCTACGTACACATACATACCATGTCATCTGTCTCGACCTTAGTGCCCAGTCAAGAGGCCTTTGTGTCCTCTGTAATCAAAGGCAAAATGGCCTTTCCCTTCAAGTTATGAAATTTATGGCCTCAGTGACCTCCTCATGCTCGGGATGAAGCATCTGCACTTGTTGTGGTTATTTATTTATTTGGGTCATTGTCACCAACCTGTATGCTCCTTGTGCAAAGATTAAAACTAAATGTTCATGTGTAGCGGACACATGAGCATGCACCTTGTAAGGCTGCTGGAACAGGCCTAGTGGCAGATACTCTGCAGTCCAGTGGGAGACAGTGTTGTGACTGCGTGACCACAGGATTGCTTCACTCCCGTCAGCTTGCTGCATAAGCACTCTGAGTGACCTAGTACTCTCTGCACTGATGTGGAAGTGAAACCTGCGTTTAGGAAAGAAGGAAGGAAGAAGGGGAGAGTGTTGGATTGGGAAGACAGCTGCGTGGTAGAAAGACGGGGGTGATGGGGAGCATTGAGCAATTCATACAACTCTGTATCAAAACACAACATTTTATAGAGATTAGGATGACAGTAACCCTCAATGTCATGGTTATCACTTACAGAATCTGGCAGTAGGGGGAGGAAGGTGGAAGTAGAGGACTCTGGAGCCGGGCCTCAGTTTGTGTGGACCCTTGACTGAAATGCACTCTCATGTAGTAGCCTGAGAACAAGGGAAAACATCTCAAATTAACAAAGTTGACTCTTAAACATACTGGTTCAACTGCTGGGAGAAGAATGTAGGTCTAACCACATGTTACTTAAGCATGTTATCCCTTGAATTCTTGTCCTGGGGGTCCAAAAACAATCAATTACTCAGTTAAAAAGCCACTAAAGTCACCTGTTTCTGTAGTGTGGTCAGTGGGTGGCTCAGTGTTGTTATTGGCTTTCTGTCTCTGCCACTTGCTCAGTCCATCACTAGTGTCAGTCCATTGGCACTGGTCATTCTCAAATGTACATGGACCTAAAATATCAAGAAAAGGCTAATAGTGCTGGAAAAAGAAGGGAGGTTGAATAGAAGGGGCAGAGGGCAGGGTGACTCCACTGTGGGTTAAGTTGACATTTAACATAGAAACAACATTTGCGCAAATCAGTCCTATTTTTCTCAGTAAATGTATTAGCATGCATCTACTTCCTGTCTCTTCTGAGAACACACCATCAACAACAGCCAACACTGTATCAGGTAACTGAACATTTAATAGAATCTTTCAGTCAGACTAAGTAACCCACACATAAAGTGCAACACCAGAAATGAAAATCATTTGTATCTTTCAAGATGTAAAGCCACTCTATCAGTTCTCTGTCAGACACATGGGATTTCAGCTGTGGAATAAGTTCCTTCTTCTCTGTCAAGAATTTTCTATTCAAGTGTATCTTCTAGCATTTCAGTGTGTGTTAGAAGTAGTCCGCATAAAGTACTTTTTGACATGGCTAATCATCTCTTTGTAAATGTTTTCTCTGGCATGACAGATTGAGGGTATTGCATTCTTTAATAATCAGTGATCACATAATGAATTTTATGCAAAGCTTTTAACTATGGTGCCTACTGTAAAATAGTCAAAGAGTTACCAGCTCATTTTGCTTTCTCACATACAGTATCTAGTAGACTGCTAATGAATCTACCCAAGCCACTGCAAAACATTTTACACTGCTGAATAATGACAAATGTGTTTGCTGCAGGTGTCTTCAGACTATTTTAGTAAGATTCAAAATGCAGCTCACCACATCCATCCTCATCCTCCCCCTGTGGGCAGTCTGGATGATAATCACACTGTAAGGTGATCAGAATACACACATTTCCAGCTGACCGCCAACAGAAAAACTGATTGTCCTGCAACACAAAAGAAACACAAAGTAATTTTAAACAAGTTTACAGACTTGTTGTACAGTATTGTGATACTTTGTGTGCCACAGAACTACCACTGTAGCATGTCAAGCAGCTTACTTGACAGGGGTTGACTGGTGTAGTTGAGACTGAGGGTGGGGCTAGAGAAGTGGGTGCAGCAGAGGTAGGCGATGTGTCAGGCAGTGCGCTGTTGTTATGATCAAATACACACTGTCTGGAGAACGAGATATCATCCAGTGCAACCAGTCCCTTTCGACCATCTCCGTGCTCATATCTGAAGACAATCTAAGGAGGCATACAAAACAAATAGACACTCTGATCTTGTTTCCACCTGTTATTGTGGTTATTATAAAACATCAGCAAATCACCAGATTTGAAATCAAGGCCAGTGTTATATAAGGAGAAGTGGAACTGCATTCACTCTAATGGTAAAGACAGGTGACAAAGTAAAGGAAAAGCCAGAAATCATATGCTATGGTCTTCACAGTCGCCAGGTGTCAACCCAGTTGGACACCTATGGGAGATTTTGGACTGATGTGTTAGACCATCACCACCACCATCACCAAAACACAAAGTGAGGGAATATCATTTGGAAGAATGGTGTTCATCCCTCCAGTAAAGCTCCGAGACTTGTAGCATCAATGCCAAGGAGCACTGCAGCTGTTTTGGTGGCACATGGTGACCCAACACCTTACTAAGGCATTTTATGTTGGTTTTTCCTTTAATATGTCACAGTCTGTAGCTAGTACAATCTTGCTGCTCCTCTTGTTCTTGATGAAATCCTAATTGTATGATTATCTTTGTGAAGATGTTTGGAGTTGTATCAAAAGCTAAGTTTAATACTTATAGCCATTAAGGTATGAATTCCATTAATATAAATATATATAAGATATAGCTTTGTTTGCACATTTAACAATCCTACATCACCATAAACAAGGCCCTGGTTGACTAAAGCTCACATCTCTTAATCATTAACTGTCTGTGTCGTAGTGACCTTGCTGTTGGCTGATGAGGAGAACGTGATTTCTGCTCTTTGCCAGCTGTAGCTCTGTGAATCTTCCCTGAGCCACAACAGTCTATCGTCACTACCAGACCACTGTGTCCTGGACCGGGCTATCAGTCTGGCTGGAGCATCATCCAGGCTGAAGTAGAAGAATATCACCTACATACAGAGTAAGAATTGTAACAAATAAGCATTGCACACCTGAGATATAGACTTCTGTGATTTTAGCTACATTACTACTAGACAGACCCTTTACTACTGATATATGCACTTGCCAGCCTTTCCTGATGCCACCCATTTTGAGTTGTAATCTCAAAATGAGGAAACGTAAGACTCTGTAATGGCACCAAGCCTGTGTCATCTCTAACAGCTGGGGAAAGCAGCTTAGTTGTACTGACCCCAAACAAATGCATGTTCCATATGCACATGCAGCAAACTCACAGTGCAGTTAGAGCTGGGTAGTAAAGTTCTGGAGAGCATCTCTGATGCCTGGCCTATCTTGGCCAAGGGAGTCCCAGGGGTGACATAGTGACCTGTATAATAACATTACACAGCATGATGTAAAGTGTAGCATTAAGGATTTAGGATTATCCCTTTGCTAAGCAGTTCAGAGAGTCTAATACCTGCAGCAGTGTTGTGGGTGTGATCCCTGGGAGGCCCATGGTTAGGCCAGGCTTCCTGTCCTTTGTAATGTGTCCACTCAGTTCCAGGTGTGTCCACATCACTGTTCGCCCAGGAACACAGTCCTTGTTCAAAGTTGCAACGCTCCATCACACCTTGTTGCTCTATATACATTTTTATTATAACATAAAAGGGGAGAAAAAGGAAGATAATGATTACAAATAAAAACTGGTACTCAGAAACATCATCCCCTGAAGACATAACAGATTTAAACAAAGCTGCGTTAAAGTTCTTTGAGCGTTGTGTGAACATATAATCATTTAAAAATCAGTGCTCCTATGGTAGCATGCTAGGTGCTCTTTTTATGTGCCAGACATGTTTGGTCCCACCTCCAAAGAATTACTAATTTAATGTTCATAATGTCATTTCAATTTCTTAACGAATGCCTGGTGTTTGTACTGTAGCACAAAGGGAGTAGCTATAGTGTGTGGGTACTATGTGAATATGAATTTATTTCTAACATATTTAACCATTCAACATTTGTGATATCCTACCACAGCTGTTTTCATCAGACCAGTCCCCGCAGTCATCGCTGAAGTCACATATGCGGCTGTGCTCCAAACACACTCTATTGTTGCACATGAACTTACTCTCTGGACAAAAGGGCTGGGGCTCTGAAAATAAAATAAAACAAAACAAAAGTAAATCAGCTTGAAAAAAAAAGGGGTTAGGTGAAAAAACACTTGTCCATGTAGCCCACCAGGCAGGGTGCAGTTGGTGAAATCTATGTCATCAATGGCAATGTGCCCAGGTTTGTTGAAGGTCCTGGAAGCTTCAAATAAGACGGTGAAGTCCTGAGGGATTCGACCGACCATTACCTCAGCGTGTTGCCAGAAATCTCCATTGTTACCAGACAGCCACCAAAGTGTGGTGGTCCTGGAGCCCTCCTTTAGCAGCACATTCAGCTCTTTAGTATCTGAAACAGAGTACAGAGTTAATATTTGCATTAAGAAACACACATGTTGACTCAGATATGATGGCAGTGTTTTATGGCTGCACACATGCATTTGCATATACAAAATATACCTTCTCCATAAATGTTGTAGTAGAAATGTAGTGTGCAGGAGACACTGGCCTGTTTCATGGTGGTACTTTGTAAGGCAGCAGGGCTCATCTGAGCCCCTTGGTCAGGCCCCACTCCTATGTACCAGCCTGGAAGAATCAAATATTAACTCTAGGAGACCTTATCTCAACACATAGTCAGCAGCAAAAGGTGAAGCAGTGGCAGATATAGCACTGACATGGGTGAAATGTTCTGAAGAGGTTTTATAAGTATTATTATTATTATTATTATTACAGGAACAAATGCAACTAAACATTGTCACACTCTGGCAACCAATGCAGTTCATATGGGGTGTCTAGCTGAAAGCTAATTTGCAGCCCCTGTCCCTGCTTACAGTTTTAAAAAAACAGGTTCAAACATCCAAGAGCATTAAGCTTACATGAGGAAAACAAAGCTTTAAACCAAGACAGACTGGCAATGTAACTGGGAACTGATGTTTTGTGGTTTTGGTTTTTGATGGAAAGGTACCATGAACCATTTGTTCCCTAATTTATGACCCATTTAGGCAGTAAGGTCAAGGAATCCAAGACCAAGCCAAAGCAAAACAAGGATGTGGAAACTGTAGAAAACACTACCCAGTGACTTGGTGGCTGTATTCAGTGGCTTTCAGACTAGAGGAAGGTTATGAATTTGACTCCCCAGACTCTGAGACAGTCAGTTCGTTCTGTTCCAAATTCAGATCACCTGACCCACTGTATATAAAGGAAGTATGAGAGGCATGAGTGTGTTGTCTTACCCAGTTCAGTCCCCAGTGTGTGGTCCACAAATGGTCCAATGCTTTCAGTAGCATTTCTTCCCCTCACCCACTGAAACTGGCCAACACTTATGTCCTCCCAGCCACATGTGCCATTTTCAAATGAACACCCCACAAACCCCAACTCTGTTTCGTTCACTGTGAGAAAAAGAAACTGGCTTCACATTTTACATTTCATTATTATTAGACATATAATAATAACAACATAATAAAAACACAAAAACAATATCAGTACCTTGACAAAGACCTGGTGTGAGACTGATGTCATCAATGGCAATAAATCCTCTATTGTTGGCCTCTGCCTCGATCAGCAGCTGAACATAGGGTTGTTGAGGAAGCAGTGAGTATCACTGATAAAATAGCACTTTTTTCTATTATCATAGTATTTTATTCTATTATTGCCACTACACCAGTTTCTGGGCACTGTACCTGGAAAGGACTGATTGGCTCTATAGCCTGAGAGAACCTGCTCCAGCCGTTTCCACTGCTGTGGCTGTGGAACATCAGACCCTCCTCCTCTGATGACTCTGAACGCATGTACACCCTCAATGTTCCAGAGTCACTGACAATTCAGACACAAATGTTATATTTTTGTCTAATATTTGATATGTGCAGACAGCTTCTGTTTAATTGAGCAAAAAATAGTTGTCCTCTTCACAAAACTGTTCTCCAAAAAGGGCTTATTGTGTATTTATCACTTTGCACAAACCATTACACTGAAAAAAAAATGGAAATTCTGAAAATTAGTTTTGCTTTAGTTGCTTCCCTTGTTTCATTCAGGCTACATTCACACAAAAACTGTGTATCATATTCTACATGGAACCTTTGTTGTTCCTGGGTTGAAACCATTTTTCTTCAGTTCAAAATATCTATCAGCAATTTTATTTATGTTGTAAAGAGGGAACTCTACCAGATTGTTCTTAGTCATGCACAGGGTGGGACAGGTGGCTCATGACATTTGTGCAAACTTCCTAAGGAGGTCAGTGAGGAAACTAAACAGGACAAAGTGCATCCTCTGCACTGTCGTGTTCTGTAGCATGTACAAAGGGTAGTGATGTTGTAATGGATTCTTGCTGACCTGCTATCCATATGGTACCAAAAGGTGAGACAGGAAGTGGTGTCTTTCAGCTGGATCCACTCTGACACTACCTGTGCAAGACTGCTGTGGTTGTGGTGTAGTGATAAGCTCAACAAGAACCAACCTACAGTACATGCCAGAAGAAAACACAAAATTAAAAAATATGTTTTTGCAGTCATTTACATTACTTGATTATTGGATTCTCACTGGTGATTAGTCATTTTTATTTTAACTATCAGCTGTGAATATTCTCTGTGCTGCTAATTTTGGCTGTTTGAATTGTTAAAACTCTGACATTTAATAAATTTATGGCGGAAAGAGGCTCAAGTCTGCTCCACTTGCATGTTCGTGGTTATCTTACTAACTGAGCTGTGTCTGAGGTCGTACCATCCGGGGTCTGAGTGGTGTGGTCTGTAGGTGGACCCTGGAAGCCCCCATTGGCCAGCACCCAGTCATGTCCATTTTCTTTGGGGATGTTGACCCAGCTGCACGATCCAGACTCAAAGTCACAGCTGCCTGGAGGACTGCAGGCCCCATCCCTCAAAGAAATATCATCTAATTTCACTGTAATGTTAGTGCCTGGCACATACTGTGCCTTAAACGCCACCTGGGGAAGAACATGAACTGCTTTAGTTGTCATCTTATAGGAATGAAAAATACAGTATGCAGTTTGGCCACAAGCTGTGAAAAAGATGGTTTGACTGGCAGAGAGCATAAAGGCATCATCGTAAAAAAAAAACCAGCTCACACGGAAATTTGCAGGGGAAGACACAGTGACCTCTGCCACCTCCCAGCCCGTAGATGGCGCTCCAGATCGTTGCCAGAGGGCTTCACCCAGCTCCCCGCTTCGCAGTACATGGACGGCAAGGCTGTTAGAGGAATCTGCAGGTAACCAGTACCTGAACAAACACAGTACATACACAAACACTAACATTAAAATCCACATCAAATGATAGCGTGCAAATGTCTGAGATGGCAGCACTAGACTCACCAGAAGCGTACACACATCTCTGTAGCTGAGTTGAGCTCTGGTGTGAGCAGCTGAGCTACTTCAGAGTTTGTTATCATCACAGTCATGTAGAAACCTACAAATGTTCAAATGCAGATATGCTTTTTGACCATTTTGCTCACTGTAGATTATGCTTGAGATATTTTTGTAATCATAATCACCTTTATTTGGCCAAGTATGTTACACACACAAGGAATTTGTTTCCGGTACAGAACTGAGGCAGGCATCTGCGGCGCCAACTCAACCAATGGCTCTAACCATCGGGGGCAACTTGGGGGATCAGTGTCTTGCCCAAGGACACTTCGACACGTGGACTGGAGGCGCAGAGATTCAAACCTCCAACCCTCTGGTTGGGAGACTCTACCCACTGAACCATGGTCACCCCCAAAATCATTTATGATATTTGCCTTTTCCCGCTTCACCTTAATAGTCTGTCAAAATCTCCAGTACATGTCGTATGAACTGAATACCAACAAAGGAATTTTAAAATCAGGGTGCTATGAAAATGTGACAAATGTGCAAAGAAGCCACACAATGAGCTCTGAAGCTGTACTTAAACACAATTAAATGCTAACGTGAGCATGCTAACATGCTCACAGTGACATGCCAACATAGTGATCTTTACTGGGCATTACTGTATCTTTATCAAGTTCATCACCTTTTAGTAGATTAGTGTGCTTGCATGCTAACATAAGCACTAAACACAAGTACAGATGGGGTTGTCATGTAATTATTGCAGGTACTGGATAAATTAAAATTTTGACCTCATGATGTCATGATGTAAAAAACAAATATCGGGGGATCACTAAGCTTAGTAGGATGGCAAAAGTGAATGGCTGTATAAAAAATCCATGGTAATCCATCTAATATTTGCTCTGCACCACCTGTGTTTTCTGCTCACCATTTTCGGTCCCATAGGTGTGATCCACATAATGTTTTGTTCCCCTCTGGCGACCCCACTGACCCCTATGACTGACATCATTTTCAAAGCCACACAAGCTGGAATCAAAGCCGCACACACCTAGAATGGTGAAAAAAGGGCAAAGCGGTAACAATCTCTGGTATGTTTTGTCATTCTGTGAACATCAGGCAGTATTTACGTACTCTGAATTATGCACTCTCCCTCTCTCACTGTAATGTCATCAATAGCAATGAATCCTCGGCTATTGGTGTTTCTATGGCCAGTGAACATCATCTGCGGAAGATGGAGGAATACAAACATCATTTAAGACAAAAGAGACAATGAAAAAATAAAATTAATACAACGTTTTTTAAAAGGTTTGTGCTTATGTATCTATAAAACATAAAAATAAAATACATGTTAACATTTGAGTTCAGCCAACATCAATTTGTGGTATATATTGCAAATCAACCCAGAAATGTTTGTGATAGTTAAAAAAAAGCAGTGTTGCCATTACATAATTTGTTTGTATAGTTTATTTTTCAACTGTAAAATGTCCGGATTAGTAACTACATCAAGTGGTACATAAAAACTAGAATTACTGCTTTGCGGTTGTCACTCAAATTAACGGAAATGGTACAGATGTGAGGTCACTGCCCTTGACCTTCAACCTCTGTAGTGGTTAATGAATGTGAGGGAATAAGGTACTTTTGAGATAGATGCATTTATATTGAGTAATTGTTGCAGCTGGGGCTGGATAAAGGGTGTGAATGTAAACAGTTGAGAAAAATAAACATACAACTGTTGACAGTTGTCTCCTGAGTGAAAGATGAGCATTGATTGGTTGTTTATGGGGGAGTACAGTAGAAGCTCTGCTATACCAACTGTGTTACTTTACTTTTGATTCAGTCTTGTATTCTACAGATGCAAATTCAGATCTTTTGAATTAAAAGATCTTAAACAAGATCCTGTCTCCTGCCACCTGAATTCCACCAAATATTCAACCACCAAACTCTATTCTGTTCATTCTTGAGTCCAAGTGGACATTTGTGCCAAATTTTATAAAATTCCCTCAAGGCATTTCTGAAATACTGAATTCACAAGAATCTGACAGACATATAGACAGACATACGGACAACCCAAAAACATAATACCTCCAGCTGCAGCTATCACCAGTGCAGAGCCATAACGGAATCTTTTATTTGTTTATGTTCTCTGTGTATATCAGTATCTGTATAGGCTTAAAAAGTGCTCGTGTTAAACCCTACCTGTATTGTGTTGTTCATGCTGATGGTTACTTGTGCATTCATCCACTCTGGATTCTGGGTCCCTTGGCGAGTCCACATTAACAGTTCAGAGGATTTCTACAACAAAGAAAGTCTTTGTACTGTTGCTCTAAAGTACAGACACAGGAAAACAATTCCTGTAATACAAGGTTTGCAGTAGTGCTATTTTAAATGCAAACACCTGCTAAACACATGATAAAACTAGGTGCATGTCTTTCTGTCTGCTTGTTTATGTAACTGTTGTATGTACTGTACCGTATGTTTCTGTGTTCTGTGAAAATACACCGAGAACAAATTTCCCCAGGTAACAGTAAACATATCTATACATACAATCTCAGGTACATACTGTTTTAACCAGCAGATCCAGGGCGGATACTGACGGTCCGAGCATATAATACCAGAATCCAACACAGTAATGTGCTGTAAGGCTGATGACAGGGACAGAGATGACTGCTCTCTGGCTCTCCTCAGTTCCTGATCCGTTCAGCAGTAAAAAGAAACCTTGACAGACAAAGAAAACAGAGAAGTGGCCAGCTTGTGATGCAAATTGTTGCATATGGATTTGGATCACTGTTCTTATGTCTGTTTTATCATTGACAAGGTGGTGTTTCAAAACAAACCAGCACATGATGTTTATGAATACATATGTTGGTTACAAAGACATCTGATGGTATTTATGGCCCCAGCTGTCACCCGTAGGCTTCTCTTCTACATTTATTCCTAGTTTTAAGATAAGCATCAATACTGGTATTATTTGATTAATATCACTGTTCAATACCTTGATTATTTCCAACAGTATGATCATACTGAGGTCCATCCCAGGGCTGGTCGACTTGATGTCCACTACTGAGCAGCCAGTTGAAATCATCACTGTCATCCTGGACCCAACTACATAGACCTGTTTTACAAGATATAATCTTAAATCTTAAAACACTGCATTTGTAATATAGATAATGGGAAAAACAAATAAAACATTCACATCGTAGTGTGCAAATACATCTGGCTTCAAGTAAAAGTCAAATATTCATGTGATATAGTATTAAGTAATTAATGGAGTTTGAATTAGGCAAGTGTAGCTAAAAAAATCCCAAAACCTCTATTTGCATATTCAGTTACTGAGACACTCAGGCTGACCTATATGAAGCATAAAATGTTGACCATAACACTAAATGCAGAATGATTAAGCATGAGCCTTTAGTTCTTTAGAAAAATATCTGTTAAACATCTTACAGTCAGGTGATTGATTATCCATCACTTCTACTGAAACAAATCTTAAGCAGCCTTAACAAGGCTCTTAATCTTATAATCTTAATCCGTGACTCGCAGTATTCATGCCAGCAATCGATGCTTTCCTAGTGTCACCTTGTTGAAAGGTGCAGTCCATGGCGGAGGCAGGAGCAGCGGTGGTCGTGGTGACAGGGTTTGGTGTAGTTGTTAGCATGATGTCATGACAGGACTTATCCCTGATGATGTGGACATCATCCAGGGCAAAGCTTGCATCTTTTGAGTCAGGACAACTGGCTTGTAAAATAATCTGTGACAAAGAACAGCATTTCATTTAGACTGACTTATTTATAGGCAGCATTTTCTGAGTAATATCAAATTATATGTTCCACCTGGTGAGGGCCTGATGAATTGTAATCCACCCTGTCTTGGATCCATGTGTCATTTAAGTATCCATTTGTATTCCACACAGACTTCAGTCCAGCAGTCTCATTCACATACACTGTCAGTGCAGCGAATGAGGGCCCTTAAAGCAGCATAAATAATAATAAATCACCAAAAGACTGAAACTTGCATTTATTGACAGGTTTGAAAATGGTTCTGTCTCTGGATGATGCCATGGGGTGTAAAGATGAGCAAAGTAATAGCGAAGTATTCCAAATACATTGATTTACAGTAAATTACCATGTCTGAATATGAACTACACACTGTAATATAGCTTTTGATGAAACAGCAGCAACAATGTAACCTACAAATGACCAAATTAAAGTGTTGTAGGAACATAAATAAAACTGTACTCACTATTTGCTAACCACCCTTTGGCGTAGTGCCAGAACTCCAAGCAAGCTCGGTCTACAGCTGCTATTGTTTCACTCTCCAGATGAGCAACAGCTTCTCTCCCAGACTCAGAGGACACGAAGAATGCAAAGTGGCCTACAGACACAAAAAACAACATAAAATATCAAGGAGAATAATTTTACAACAGTGTCCTTAATAATTTCGAACTGTCACTATGGCTGTTCAGTCCAGTTGACGTTTGAGCAGCATCATTAGTCAAAAGAAATACATTTGTTGCTAAAAAACTGTACCTTTACCCATTGATACATATATTGCCAGCCAGACTATAAATTCTAAATATTTAAAGCTTGACTGCCAAGAGCTGAGATAGTTAAAATTATCCAAGTGTCCTGGTTTCTTCTGTCTCAAACCGAGGATTCCAAGACTGTGAATTGCACAATGCCACACTCATTATGAAGTCTGTAGTTAAAGTATGTGCGGTGACTCACCTAAAGAAGTACCCGTGGAGTGATCCCTTTTTGGGATCAGTTTACCCTCACTGTCGCCTGAGAGCCAGTCCCAGTCCACCCCGGTCTCTGCTGGAGGATTGTTCACCCAACCACAAAAATCCATCTCAAAGTCACAAAAACCTGCAAAGATTGATACAGATACACATACAGCATCCAGCCATATACACATGCACACACATTCTTTACACAGCTTTTGTGTGTACTTCCTAGTCATCACTAACCTGGCGAGGGACAGGCACCATTAAGGACAGTGAGGTCATCGATGGAGATATCTCTCCTTGGTCCATCTCCAACCACTGCCTCAAAAATCACCTGTCACAATGGCAAATTGATTTTATCTTACAAGATGACAAGGGTTATTTCCATATACTGTACATGTAACTCCCTCTTTCACATGTATGCGTGAGGATACATTTATTCAGAAAACTCCACTTACATGATACGGGGTATTAGGGCTAGAAAGTGTCACTCGTCCGTGCCTCCAGTGCTTCCCCTGATCCCCACTTCTGCTCCATAGCTGGACAGGGTTTCTGTTATTGTCAGGAGTTTGAAGATAAACCTTGAGTTCACCCACTCCACTTCCTTCCATGTAGTACCAGAACATGAGGCACTCTCCATCAGGTGGGGTGGGCTCCATCAGTGCAGTCATTATTGTACCTCTTGACCCCACAGGGTGACTCCACAAGCGGGCACTCAGGTAGTAGCCTGCACATAAGGTGAAGTTATGCTGATTTTTATTTCCTGGGTTTCTGTAGGATTTACCAAATAAATTCAAGACACAAAAGGACTGAACAGTCTCCTGCAACACAATCCACTGTCACAACCATCCCAATTTTAGTTTATACATTTGTAAATTAAATTTAATACTTTTTACTACCTTCTAAGGTCTTTTTTGGAAAGTACACTGAATGCTTTTTCAGACTGTATGTGTTTAAGTTTGTGTATAAGTTGTTTCACATAGCATGGGATCACACAAATCTATAATGACTAATTACACAATTGTATTGCATTTTCATTTAAGACAATCATCCTCAAAAGATTCTGCAGGTAATCACAATCAAGATGCATCATCTATGTTGGAAATTTGCCTTTCACAAATACTGAAATCTTGGTGTTCAGTTATGAGACAACCTTCAGATGAATCAAAGCATTTTTAATAATAAAACAATACAGCAACCAGCTTCTATATAGGCAACTATGTATCTCATTGGTTTGCCCCCTTTGTCATCACATGTGATTAAAAATGACTGACTTTTAAAAATATAGGATGCCTTGCTCTATCCATTGAGACTGGTGTGGTGCCTGAAGTCACATTTGACAGACTGACCATCAAAACCTCATGTATAGTCAAATCTATCCTCAGCTTTCTGGGGAACATATTGCCAGCGTGAGACATACCAACAAAGTGTGATTTATTTAGCAAAAGAAACTAACAAAAACAGATCTGATGCTTTTAAAAATTCACTGTAAATTAGCCAGATGAGACAATATTTCAAGAAGTTGCAAACCTTGTGCTGTCCCCAGTGTGTGATCAGTGGCAGGGCCTGAAGAGTTGGCTGCCTGGGACGCCCCTGTGATCCGGCTCCAACTAAAGTCTGCAGACGATTGAGATAGAAGACCACACAGGGAGCCCTGGAAGGTGCATTCTCTCTCAGGCGGACAAGAGCCAGTCACAGCGCTGGACACTGTTATATCATCGATGGCTATGCTACCTTGATTCCCACCCACCACAGCTTCTATAATAAACTGAAGAACAGCAGAAGTGAACTGAAGTGGAAGTTTCAACAAAACATAAATGTTAACTTTATTATGGAAATAGTTTTACACTTCTGTATTAAAATGTCTCTTGAAGTCTATGGGAAAAAAGAGTTGTGTTTGGTATGAAAATCTGCTCCAAGATACATGTGCTTACATTTTGGCAGTCTAATAACTCTTTGAGTCAATACTCCTGTAAAAACATTACCTGAAATGATCTTGCCAAGGCAGAGAAATGCACACAGAAATGATGAAATAATAAATACCTGAATTGGTTTGTCACTGTTGAAGGTAAGATCAGCAAATCGCCATTTGTTTCCCTGGGTGCCACTTCTCATCCACATAACTGTCTCTGGTTCACCAGAATGCTTTGCAATAAACTTCAGTGAACCTGATTATGAAGAGATTATTCAAATACAACTTGTGCATTTGAGGAATACTGTACATGTACATTATAGAGAAAAGGCTGAGATAAAAAACTGTCTTATTAAACGTGGCTAGAATTCATAAGACTTATATGAATTTTAGAAAATGCTGGAAATGAGCTTTTTTTTATGTATAAATCTTAGTCTGATTCTCTCTAGAAGTGCAGCAGCGACAGTATGGACAGAGAGGCACATACCAATGCTGTTGCCAAATATGTGGTACCAGAAGCTCACACATATGACTTGACCTGCAGGTCGAGGGAAGCTGATGAGTCTGGCTGCTGATGAGATATCTAGGTTGTATGAAGGTGTTATGATCATGTAGTAGCCTGTTGAAGAAGAACACAAGACTCATCAGATATTTAATGTATTCAGAGTGTAATCAGCAAAAACCATCTGTCCAGTGACACAGAATTGGAAGAGTTTTAAGACCTTCATTATTTTTATTCATTTAGTGTATATGGTGCTTATGTACATGATGCATTTCACTAAAAAACTTGTACAACAAAATTTGAGATGACTGTCAATAAGATGGGTGGCACGGTTCTGCAGTGAATAGCACTTTTGTCTTATAGCAAGAAGGTTCTGGGTTTGAACCTGCCAGCCGATCAGACCTTTTCTGTGTGGTGTCTGCATATTCTCCTTATGCCTGAGTGGGTTTTCACCAGGTACTCTGGCTGCCTCCCACAGTCCAAAGACATGCAGGTTGAATGGTGGCTCTAAATTTCCCATACATGTCAATGTTAGTGTTTGTATGTGTCAGCCCTGACTGGCAACCTGTCTAGGGTGTATCCTGTCTCTTTCCCAATGTCAGCTGGGATTGGCCAGCCCCCCAGTGATACTCTACAGGATAAGTGGTAAAGATAATGGATAGATGTCAAGAAGATACTCACCATTCCTTGTTGGTTCTTTGTTAAACTTCCCATTACTCCTTTCCCACAAAATGCTGGCAGTGTAGTCATGGTACCATGAACAGGTGTCCTTTTCAAAATCACAGGAGAGCTGGTCTGATCCTATAGGGACATCTCCCTCTGCACAGTTCTCAAAGCTAATATCATCCAGCATGATGTCACTGGTTCCCAGAAATGAAGGGCTGAGTGAAAACAGCACCTGTATAAAGTGTTATATTCTACAATTACTTTGCTTTTCTTTAACCTCTAAAAAAGATGACAAGATGAGGGCATCAACTTTTTATTGAGAAGAAGGGCTGCAGGGACTACAGTTTAATACTAAAGTTTAGCATATCCCAAAACAGTCCATCCAGTTTCTGAGTACGACCTGGGCCAAATTTTCTGTGTCTGTTACGTGTGGCGATACAAAACTACAGACGAACATGTTACCCTACATTACAATTACATTATATTAATTTGGCAGATGCTTTTGTACAAACAAAAGTGCATTCCCATCCCATGTGAGCAAGAGATAGATATCATCCACAACTGGGAGTGTATCCCTTTAAAACACATAACTAAAAGCATGTTCAGTGCTAGAGTACAAGAACTTAGAGATGTTTTTGTTCCATTAAAGTAATCACAGTGGATGTGTTTCTAGATATCATCCACAACTGGGAGTATATCCCTTTAAAACACATAACTAAAAGTATGTTCAGTGCTAGAGTATAAGAACTTAGAGATGTTTTTGTTGCATTAAAGTAATCACAGTGGATGTGTTTTGCCTGTAGCAGAAGACGGGCAGTGACTGTGCTGTCCTGACCTCAGCGGGGATCTCATTCCACCACTGATCTATCAGGCAAAGTAAAATAAAACCCAAGGCTAAGGGGAACATAGGTGTTATAGAAGCACAGGAAATAAGGCAAAGATAAAATTTACAGGTACAATAACAATGAAGAAATAAAACAATTAAAGCTATATAAAGATACAAAATATACATAATAGTAAGTTATTAAAAGCTCTAACCTACCCTCTATCTCTTTTAGATTACTGTGTCTGTGTAAGGCCAAAGGTCAAATGGGACATTTTACTAACCTTGTATCCTGCTGGCTGATTACCAATGAAGGCTGTGGCATTCTCCCAGCCATCCGTCATACTTTTAGAAATATCCAGCAAGTCTTTCTCCATGGTGCCTCTGACCATTATGACTTTTAAGTGTGGTGGTAATGATGACTTATCATAAATATGGTACCAAAAGCTGAAACATACAAGCGGTCAAATCACAAAAACTGTGATTGCTAGAATATGGTATATGAAAAACTCAAGTCAGAGTCAATTACAAAAGTTGGTATGCATTGTTAGGAAACACCTAATACAGTATATGAAGCAAATGTCTTTAAAACCTGGATAGATTGTTGTTAGTACCTGATCTGGCATCCCAGAGCTGCTAGCTTGTCAATAGAATACTCCAATTTAGCTTTTGCAAAGAGGCCAACTTCCTGTTTACCATCTATATGCATGACGTGTCCTGTGTCCAACAAAAATCCATGTTAAGATCCTCTTCAAAGACTAGATTTGGTAATGTATTAAAACATTTCAGCATCCATGTTAAAATGACACTGCATTTGCTTCAAATTAATTATCAAAACAGTAAGAGCACAAAGAGAACATAGCAGGAGGGTAATGTTTACCCCAGGAGCTTCCTGTGGTGTGGTCCTCTCCTGGTAGCAAGGTGATGTTTGCCATCTGCCGTCTCCAGTGGTAGGAGCCATCACTGGTGTCTTTCCAACCACAGGTGTGATGTTCAAAGTCACATGAGCCTTAACATGCAGGGAAACATGTTTTATGTATGTTTTATAGTAACACACACACACA